AATATGGCTCACCAACAGTCATCTTTTAAGCCAAAAAAAATTCTATTCAGTACACATAATATTCTAAAAATTTAAAAAAAAATTGCCCCCAATTATTACAACAAGGACAATAAAATAAATTATTTTATATTCATTATTGATTGAAAATTTAATATTTTAAACTATACAAACCCTATGAAATCAAATTTTCAGAGTGGAAAATTGCTAAAACTAGACTTAGACTATTCCTACCACTATGGATAATCTAACTTTTAATTTCCACGAGTTCATAATCAAATTAAATTACGAATCCAACGACACCTTGAGTGATATGATCTGAAATCATATGACCTCAAATCAAAGGATTAACATATAGTTAAAAAGTTCATGATATTAATTGTACGATCAAATAATCTTCTAATCTTGCATGTTTATATCAAATTATCGCTAATGCACGATATTTAAAGAGCTCAAGTCGCACAAAGAAGTTCTAATCTTGGTAATTAACGAAGACATTTAAGGGAATCTTATGATAGTTTAGTTATAAAATATCAGAATGATCTGTCTGATTAGATCAGTATATTATATGACTGATTGAAACAGGGTAGAGAAACATTTCTTCAACTGCTCATTGATAATTATCCAGGATTTATTATATTTTGTCACATTATTTAATTAAATTCAAAATCTATATGAATTTTAGTATGTTATAACTAAAAAAAATATCCCCTAAAAATATTAAATGACAGTAGAGCTTATTCTTTGAATTGGCTCTCTAAACATTTTGCACTTTTTACTTAGCTTAAATCATAAAAAGAAACCAAGTAATTTGAACTAACATTATGTATTCCTAAGATTATTATACTCTATTTATAATCAATATAAAAATTTGATTAAAACTTTTAATTTCTAATTATTATTAGATTTTCAAGGAATTGGAACTTTAAATATTGAAAAAAATTATTATTATTTTTTAATTCTTAAATTAATGAGTGAGCTCAATTATTAATTTTTTTATTTAAGAAATCATTTAATCTATTTAATATATTATTGCATATCATCACTAAAAGAAAATAGCACATTTTCAATCGAGAAAATGTTTGAAAATGGCATGAAGTAAACAAATTATCATGAGATAATTACATATGGAGCACCCGAAACATTGATATTTACAAATCAAGCACACAAGTGATTTTTTGAACTACCAAATCTATGCATGCACGTGCGTCATGATCAAACCATTGATAATTTGATAAAAAATGTTAATTAAGGGTTGAGATTTTATAATACATTTTGATATTTGAGTGAGAATTTGAAAAATGGATGAAAGAGGAAGTTTGATTTGTAAATAGCAATGTTTGAGGTGCTCTGCATGTAATTGCCCAAAAAATCACTTTTGACCAAAAAATGTTGAGCCGTATAATCATATCTCTCTCTCTCTCTCTCTCTCTCTCTCTCTCTCTCTCTCTCTCTCTCTATGCACACGTGAGTAATTTCCTAAATTTCAAATAATTAAGTTAATTATTATAAATATAAATAATTAAAACCTATCTTAATATTTTGTTAATGCCAAAAAAGAATAAATGATGAAGAATGTTCAATTTTTAGATTTAAATTAATGTCTGAGTACACTTAACCTGAACCCAAGCTTATAAAAGCACACCCATCTACAACCTTCTTTCCCTTAGAAATCCTTGCCATCAATGTAGAGAGAGTACTCGATTTGTGGTTTGAGATCATTGTTAGGTACACATGTACAATGACAATGTTGAATATTCGTTAAGAAAAGTAAACAAAATATGAACTTTGGTCATATTAAGAAGTGTGTGCAACCTTAAGAAATGACGAGAGTTAGGTGTTGCCCATAACAAAGGCTGAGGTGATGTACTCGTGTTGGTTAGAATTTTAAGGATGGCGATAATGTGACATTATAAGCTTCTATGGAATAAAAAAAGATGAGAGTGTGGGTTTGCTTATGATTAGAGAAGGGAGGATGTGGTTGGGGTGAGCACACACAAAAGATATTATATTTTGCACACGTTCCAAAATAGTCATAGATGGTTGAATGTATTTGAACACAATTCTGTTTTAAAGTGCCAAATTTTTTAGTAAGTCAAACATAAGAAAACTATGAATTGGCTCATGTTTGACTCAATTATATCCCTAATTACTAGTACCGGATGAAGTGATATTCGTCAAACATTACAAACACATTTTGATAGTTTTATCCCACCCGCAATGACCTTTAAGAGACACTCACATGCACATGTGCATGAGTGTATATCATTACCTTTTACTTTTTATAAATAATTGAGGATACAAAAGCTATATTTGAATGCTAAGAAAAAAAAAGCAACAATAGAACCTACTGAATAATAAAGAATGGGAGTGTATAAGAGCTAGTGAGTTAGAAACATGCAAATTCCAAGTGTTAAATTTTTAGTACCTTACTAAGAGATTGTAGGACAACTATTTATATTAGTGAAAAAAATTGATTGCATCACAGGATATTAATGGTGGAAAAGAAAATATGTAGGTAGAGAGGAGCGACTAAGATGTAATAATAAATTGAGGTGACTGCCCCATTTCAATGGATATTTTATAGCAATGCAAACTGTTTACACCCTCAAGTAAAAAGCCAAGGGTTAGAACATTACCTTTTGTAAGAGCTTTTCAAATCAAGATATTGATAAGGTCTCGTTAAACATGTCCACACTTGTTATTAATTTTTAATGTACTATATTGATTTTAATAGAGGATATATGATCCAAAATAGAATATCACAATATGCATTATCAAGACACAAAGAATGAAGTTATTGGCTATAACCATTACTAAACTACATAACATTGTTATGAGGTTGAAAAAAAGTGGAGATGTTGAATTGAAGAGTAAGTTTACTCAACCAAATGTTGTTCATGGTAGTTGTTGCATGTGCCCAATATCCAGTCCCTTGGATTAATTAGAAAGAATTTATTTTCAATTTGTTTGATGTAATTCCCAAGAAATTTATGAATGGACCTAGCTCTTTAATGTAATATGTTTTATTCAAATTTTGTATGAAAGTTGAAATTGATTACATCATTATTGATAATGAGGATGTTCTGGATGTAGATTCTACTATGGTGATTGGAGTAGAATATGAGATATGAACCTACCATGCTCAACCTAAATTATTATTTTAGTAGATCGCTAGAGAATTTGAAATTTTCTTATATTGGTGCTTGTTTTAATCCATAGGTTATTTCATTAAGAGATACAAATAATATGTATGTTAGATGTCATAATGTTTATGTAATTTAGGCATCTATATGATATCATCAAAATTAGCATGAAAGAAGGCATTTAAAACATCCAATTGAAAAACTTTCCACTAATTACGTAATGCAACTATTAGTACTATAAGTATAGACGACATTTTGATGGTGGGATTAAATATTTTATTATAGTTTATTTATTGTCCATGCTTAATTCTCTAAATGATAAGACAAGTTTTAGGGCAAGCAATTTTTCTATCAAAGGTGAGTTTTATTTTGATGTTCAGTGGAAGCATAGAATTATTTTGATTTGTAGATGAGAAAACAATTTCTAGATAATTTGTTGTTACATGAATTGAAACTCCTATGAAATTACAAAATGCAAATGTTTATGTTTGATAGTGTGAGTGCAGTGAATTGGGCAAGCTAGTGTATAAAACTGATGGATAAGATCAACTATGTTCTTAAGTCTCGAAGAGTCTATTTGAAGATTGTTATGCATGTGATGTTTGAGCATAGGTTACAAAGTTATGTGAAGATGAAGGTTTTATTGGCAATTTTTGCAAATTGGTGTGTATTAGAAGTGGTTGATAGAGTGTGATGACTAGCATTGAGGCTAAATATATGGAGGGTGTGGGAAGCTTGGGCATTTTAGAACTAGTGAGGCTAGATGCAAGTGTGAAAAGTAAGGGAAGTATGTTAATTGATTGAGTTGTAATGGTTGAGGTTTTATTTTGATAGGGATAAGCAACTTTATCATACACAACATGTGGACACAATATTTTTGCTTTAGATCCATAATATTTCATCTTACCAGCAAGGCAAATGGTTTGAGTTTATCTTAAGTTATCATTGGGTTGAGGTTATACTTATAATTAAATTAAATTTAAATTCAAATTAGAACTCAATTTTGTAAATTTAAATTATTATCTGATGGACAATTGTTTTTTCTTTAAAAAAGAAAAAAAGAAAACGATGCCATACCAAAATTTTATACAAAAAAGTGATAAAAATATGTAAATTAGGAGGGGGAATTTGGGAAAAAAATTAATTATTTTGAATCTAAATGACTAAATTCAAATATTTTTTTAGAATATTTTAAATAAATAATTTTTAAGGAAGAGCCAAATATGAGCTAAATCAAACATAACTTGTTAGCCAGTCAAACTCAATTAGAAGTCATCTACCACTTTTTTTTTTTTTTTGTTTGATGTACTTCAAGCATGAGATCTTTCGGAGGGGGAGAAATCCGGCCAAAATCCCATCTTTAATTAGGTTGATTATGCCTTCATTTTTTTTTGGAGATGGACCAACTTAAAAAAACCATCAAATAAATTCGAATCATTACAATTAATTAATTTAAATTATAAATTAAAATTTCCTAGTTGCATTTGCAATATTTTTCCTAATTTTTTTCTCCCCCCAAAAAAATAAATATATTAAGAAATTAGACAATTAATAGCAAACCAAAAAAAATAAAAGAAAAGAAAATGGTAATGCAATGCTCCCTCTTGCAAGCTTGGAAGATCTGCTTCAATTATGTAAATAGTTAATTATAAAAGATAAGATCAACATAATTTTATCAAAATTAAGAGTTTTTTTTTATTTAAAATAAACATATCATAATAAATAATTATGTAATTACATGCTATATTCATCTAAAAATTCATCTAAAAATAAATTTCAAAAATAAATTTCAAAAAAAAAAAAAATTTCAACCGAATTTTAATACTAATTTTTTTTTCCATAATCCATAATTCTACACATAAATTCTATAAATATCAAGTATCTCCACGCCAACAATTAACCAATTTAATCATCAAATCATAAATCTTACCCAAAAAAAAACACTGAATGACAAACAAATAATAAAATTACACATTAGCCCCTCCCCAAAATCCACTCCCTCCCCTTCCTCCCTACCTTCACTTCTCCTCCCTCACATGCCCTCCATCAAAATTCTGCGCGTAGCTGAAGGAATCATACCTGAACTTACAATGCGTCGTCGGCAGCCTCTGCGGCTGCACGAGCTTCCTTATCTCAGATCGAATCTTATAAAACAGGTGGCGAACGCTCCCTTTTCTATGGTAGCCGAGAACCTCCGTCTCCTCTTCATTCATCTCCAGATCTCTCACGAACCCCGGTTTCTTCGAAAGCAGCCAGCTCCAGCTCCATTCCCACCATCTCCGAAGCGAACCTCCGGTGAACTCTTGGACGAATTCCGGCGCCGATTTAGAGCGGCGGAGCGATGCCCATGAGCAGACGGCTGAAGAGGATAAAGGTTGGATTTTTATGGAGAATGAGGAGATGAGCCTTCGGCGGAGACCGATGAGGTGGGTTTCTTTGTTGGGGGTTTGAGAGATTGGGAGCTCGTCTTTCATTGGCTTGGAAGGGAAGAAGGTTTTCTTCTGGTTCTGGTTGCCGTCGAGGAGAGATTCCATGGCTGGGTCTCTGTTTTCAACAACTTCCTGGTTCTATGGAGGATGAGGAAGATATAAATTTGGTTAAATGATATTCATGATATTCTTATTAGCTGAGATACAGGCTGGTAATGGGGTGGATCAAGCGCCCATGTGATTGATCCTGCGGGGCGTTTGGTCGTTTTGAGGAATCATGGATGGCCGTTCGTTACACATTAAGATTTGGTTAAGTTTATGATGGACGGTGATCGCTCATATATATATATATTCACTTTTTTGTGCACGAAAATGCGTATTATATAAAATTAAAAAAGATAATATTTTTAATGTGATATGAATGATTTTACATGCTTACCACCCAATTCTTTATGTCTTTATATATCTAACCCTTAAGAAAATCTAAATATTTCATATCACAAAAAAATGTTATTATTTTATTTTTTAAAAAATGAAATATATTTTTTCATGCATAAATAACATGAAGTACATATAAAACTTCAAGTTTAGATGTTAGACATGTAAATACATAATAACTAAATGATATGTGTGTAAAACTTCCTTTTTTTTATCTACATAAATAGTCTAAATTCTTATATATTTATATATTTATCATATTTTTTTTTGCAAAAGATGTAATCTAAAGAATAAAATGTTAAACAAATAAAAAAAATCATTAAAATTCAGCGTTATGTGTTTTTTTTTTTTTTTAATAATTGACGACTTGCGCGATATGTGGTTTGATTCATCGCATGAAACGAAGGATTTAGTATTTTAAGAAGATGATGGTTTTCCCGTCGTTATATAGAAAGTAGGTCAATTGGTTAATTCAGGGACCTACAGATTAGGTGTTTTCTCTAAATCATTGGATTTCTTCAATTGATTGTTGGGTGCATTTCGGATGATTAAGCTACTTTCTCTTCAAGTAAGTGCTAATAAATTATTAGAGCTAAATTTCACGAACAAGTCACATCAATTGATTTTCAATGATTCTGATTACTTTTAATGCGTGCTAGAAGATTTGTGGTGATAGAATAATAGTTTATCATCTTATCATGACACGAAGATTTAACACACGATCGAATAGAAGAAAAAAATCAATAGAGACACCAAAGTTTTTTACGTGAAAAACCCAAAAAAGGAAGAAAATCACGGGATCTGACCCAGTTGTAAAAATATACTATAAGTTGATGATTACAGATACTCATTGTCCCATAAGCAGAAAAAGATTACAAAATCTCTCGAGTTACAATGTTGATATGCAGATAAACTTGTTGCGAGGAACATACGTCAACCGATAACTATCAGCAATGACTAAGGGTTGGCGGTGGTTGACGACGGTTAATGACTACGATTGACGGTGGAAATGACGTTGGACTTCAGCTTCTTCTCAAAGTTTCAAGTTTTTTCTCAAGTCTCAAACCTCAAGCTTTCTTCCCCCTGTCATGAGAGGGGTGGGACTCTATTTATAGAGTTCCATGTATAATTAATATAAGAATATAAACCACTTCGAAAAGGACTGCTCAGAGGGCATTCCTCAATCAGACAACACATAGTAGACATTTGAGTGTCTTAATAATGCCAGAATTGAGTGATCTTAGACATGTTGGATTTGTCTCGTCAAAATGCTCGATTCAACTATGAAAACACCAGATTCCAAATTCATCTGACCTTCCATATATGCTCGGAAAGCTTCCAAATGTCGTTTAATTGTTTGATATAAACTTGATTTGGCTCGGATTTGGACTCCTTTTGGCACCATTGGATCCACCTCGTCGTGCCAGTCATTTTGACTATAAGTCTGTTGAAATCTGAGCATGGCTTTGTGTCTAAATAAACCTCGTCGTATCAATCATTTCTTGTTCAAACGATTGACTCAAAATCCATATTATGCCTCGAGATTTATGTCAAATGATAGAAATTTATTGATGGCGTATTGAGTTTATATTTGTTATGAATTTAATTCTTGTAATTATTTAGGTATTGTGAATTTTATTTTTACACATTCTCATACTAGTTATGTATAATAATGTTATTATTATTGTAAAAAATGTTATTCTTAATATGTAATTTAATAATTTTATATTTGATGTGTCATCAAGAATTTTTTATGATCTGACATGAATCTCGAGGCATTTTTTAACAATAAATTTCTTAAATTCAATTTCTAAATTATTTAACCCCTGATTTTAATAAGTTTATAGCTCAACTAACTGTCTCAACAAGATAAATCCAATGAAACAAATCCAATGATATCAAAATTAGTTCAGTTTGGCTCCAATCAGGCCCAGATCAAGCTGCTGAAGCACAATTGAATGATTTCAATTTTCAAATGATTTGTCAAATGAACTTCAAATTTGACATATTTATAGTTGAATTGAGCATCTCAATGATAGGAATCTAATGAGTCTAAGATCGCTAAATTTTTATGTCATTAAGACATCCAAATTCTTAGAAAACACATATAACCAAAGAGTAAGCATGTGCTGGTTGATCTAGTAGTTACGAAAGTTACATGTCAAAAAAACTAAAATTCCCCTCTCAAAATATTATAAATAGCCTCCCTCTCTTAACTTGAGATGAGAATGGTGTAACCCTGTATTTAAAAGCACATAGAGGATTATTTTAGTTGGGCTAGATCTTTGTGATTTTTTTCTCTTTCCAGGATCTTTCACGTACAAGATTCTTGATGCTACCTCATTTTATCTGTGTAAGTTGGATCTTCATGCAACAATAAAACGTTAAATAAACAATATCGCATTGAATCATATTATATATATATATATATATATCTCTATATATATCTAGCTTTTCATGTTCAAAGAAATGAATTCAATGAGTAGTAAAAAAATATTCAATTAAGATTTTCTAGAAAGAAGATAATTAAGTCCAAAATTAGACCATTGCTAAATAATTATTTAAATTTTAATGAATCAAAATAATTTTTTTTTTTTGTTTCAAATCAAAATATTAATAACTTAAATAAAGTTTGAATAAATATGGTATACAACTTTCTATTCAATCAAGCATAACTTTTGATAGATTCATATGATTCAAAACACTAGTGTTCAAATTTTTAATAAAAAAATCTTAATCTACTCAGCTGTCATTCAGACTCAGGTTTGAATAAATTTATAATCAATACAAATAACTAAATTAGATATACAAAATGATATTAAAAAAAATTAATTCATGTAAGAAAATACCTATATATAGCTCTTGAATTGTAGTCCAAAATTTTTTGTGACCATTTAAGAAACCTACCATTCCTCGACCCTTTCATGATTCTAGTCAAAATGAGCTTCTTAGCTAGACTAATTTGGCTAGCTCAAGATCACAAATTTTCATTTCACTAAGGTGATAATGTATCAATAGCATATTATATAACCAAGGAGATCAACATGAGCTAGCCAATAAATTGCTATGATTCCCTATCATTGACCCTTACATGAACTTCCATTGTTGCCAATAAAATTGAGGCTCTGTTAATCTCGACCTGGCATTTATTATTGCTAATAAGGTCAATGTCTATTATTGCACCAACCATAAAGCCTGACATTGTTAATAAAATAGATGCCTAACACTGTCACTAAAACTAAAGTCCATCATTGCCAATAAAGCTAACATTCATTGTCACAAACCATGCTAACAAATTTCATTATTATTAATTATGATGTTTCTTAAAAGCAACAAGCTTTACACATGTTGTTGACACCAATGTCACTCATCATTGACATTAATGCTAAGGCAATCATCACAAGTTAAGTTATTGTTTCCAATTGATAACAATAATTACTCTTGTCATCAATATAAACATCGATGCTCACAATGCTACTAATGTTGACACGCCATTTATGTCAATGCTAGTAATCATCATTTCCAAAAAGATTAATGCATGTCATCAATGTCAAAGCCTATCGTTGATGATCATGTTTGATATTGTCGCCAATGTTGATACTCGTCGTCACCAATAAGATATATATACATTATTTGCAATAACATTGACTAATATCAGTGCAAATAAGTTTGATGCCCCAATTAGCACTAATACCAATGTTTATTGTTACATCGATGTTAATAAATATTATCACCCTCAACTTTAACAATGGCATTGACGCCAACTTTAACACTTGTTATCACCAACTAGGTTGATGATCACCATCACCATTAATTTTGATGTTTGACATTGACATTAGCCCTGTGATCTTTGTTGGTACTAAAGTTGACACCCTTAAGAGATAGCAAGGTCAATGTCCACCATCACTAATAAAAGTCAACATCCACCCATCACTTGTCATCATTGATGATATATATATATATATCACTTACAATTTTGATTTAATTATGATGTTCTCAAACATATCATTATGATAAAATCTACATATGCCAAGTTATTAAATATGACCACCTTTCTTAATGCCATTTTCCTTTCTTAAAATCAAAAGCATACACATGTTCAAATGAGAGAAACAATTCACAAAGTAGGATGCAATTAGAGTCATGTCAATAATCAAATCATGACTGTTTATATTTATCAAATCTGTTGTAGATTATGATTCGTGTGATGGTATTCCTAGCATGTTAATTATTGCATTTGAAGTGATTTTATGTACAATTTACCTAATATAGATACAATTATAAATAAGGATAAAATCTCAATTTAAAATCAACTTATGGAAGTGTGTGTTAGAACATATGTTCAAATTATGATTAAAACAAGATCGTAATAAAACTTAAACGAATGGATAATAGTTTCTTCAAATCATGAATATATATTAGACTATTAGTCATATCAAAGATGTCGAGTCTGCTATATTTAATCAAAATTCTCTAAAATTTAAACTCCAATAAAGAAATGCATAAATGAATGCATTCATCATAAATGAAAGTATTATTTTCATGTGTTAACTTAAATATGTTGATTATGAATCTCTTGATGTTAATATAGTAGTTTATTTGCATAGTATAAATTACAGTTAGCGATAATAGAACAATTTATATTCCAAGCCATACGAAATAATCCCAAATATGCATAGTACATAATGTTTTAGAAAATAACATGATTACTCAAATTTCAATATTTATATAACATAGTTTAATAGTTACATTCACATAATGCTAGTCATATATTTCTCAAAATAGATTTA